TGCAATCTATTGTACTGCCCTCTCAGAAGCTCACTTCATTTCCCAACTATTTATACAAAATAGCTTTTATAATAAATTTTGAAAAAATGGTTCAGACAAGAATCCCAGCTTTCGTAAACTTTTTAAATTGTCACCTGCTGCCAGATGTGAGTGGATCGGAACAAGGTGGTACAGGAAGAAAATCCCTGCTTTCAAAGGATCTTATAAATAAAGATCATTTGCGGTTTGGTACGTTCACTTTAATTTTAACAGATTGCTTTGTATTCACAGCTTGGTTTCCCTCCACCGTCCACAAGCAACATGGCTGGCACAAATTCATCATGAACTGTGCTCTGTCATGCAAGACCCACTCTACGCTCTCAGCATAAGATACATGGATACACACACACACCCCCTGCGCGTTTTGAGGACAGACCTCTTTTGCCCAGCAGAACATCACATGCTCCTGCAGACCAGAACTCTTTGGGATACAGGCTCCATCCCTCTCTTGCCTATGCAGTGCGAGAAGGGCCTTCAGGAATTATGGTAATATCTACAACAGCCTACTCTGATCTCTACCTCGCTTCTTCCCCTGGCGAACGAGCAGAAAGGAGCCTTATATGTAACCTGCTTCCCTCTTATTTAAAACCAAATGAACTGAAGAACAGCACGTTTTTGGGGGGATCACAAACCTCTCTAGTACACAGCTTACACTGAATTTTCTACAATTTCAGAACGTGTTCTGGATCGTTTCCCTTCAGAAATAAACCAACAATTAACAACAATACTGACAAATAAATACAAATACTAGCAAAACCCTAAGTAGATTGGGAAAAATGCAGCTGATGACCCCATTATCCTATTACCCCTGGATTTACTTTGTTCCTCCCATCACTGCAATCAGCAGCTCACACAAATGCACAGGTGTCTTTACAACAGCACCCAAGTCTGCATTATATAGGGAAACACCATCTCCTGCAGTGGCCAGGTGAATGCCCAAGCTGCTACAAAGCTAGTTTGCTTTTCTGTGCTCTAGACAGGCTGTGCAGTACCCAGTCTCGGCAGGTAGGTAAGGTGTTTGCTGCATGCGAAATTAGAGCCTCCGAGAAAGACTGGACCCAAAGGCAAACGCAAGCTAGGCTGGGAATGGGCGGACTTCTTCCCACTGCAGGGACCCCCGGCACAGCCCTGCTGCGTTAACCATTGCTCCGTCTGCTCCTTTGTGAGACAGAAAAGCTCTGCCACACACGGCAGACATTGCCTACATCATGATGATGGGTGCTAAGGAACACGCAGGCTCTGCCGATAACACCTTACCCAGCCATTCAAGCTCAGCAGAGGAAGATCCCTCTTCTCACCAAATACCCTAAACCCCTCCAAATACCAAACAGCGAACAAAAAAAACCTGTCGATGTCATCGGATTGCACCACTCCCCC